AACCTACAACTACTTTTGTGGCCTTTGGGGTGTGGGATAGACTTACCTCTACGTGGTGCACCCTTGGCAACGCATACTTAGAGGCAAAAAATCTATTAACCGGCAGTTGACTTCTGACTTCAAATTACCATCACCTCACTATATGTCATATTCCACCACTTCCACAGTACTCGCCTCACCTTTTTCTACCTTTGTGTCTGTCTCTTTTACATCTTGGAACCACTCTTCTGTCTCAACCCCCTGGCGACATTTTTTCACTTTGATGTTCCTTCTCCTCTGTGAAGCCTGAAGTCAACTAAAGAGATAATGATAACTATCAAAACGCCTCCCATTTGATATAAATAAATAAATAAACTTTTTTGGCTGATGAATGTCAAATAAGAACACAAATACGATTCCCAATGAAAGATATTTCGGAGGTATGAAATGCATACATGTCCCAGATGGGATAATATGAGCATTTTATCTTAATTACGCAGTTTTCAGGACCTAAGCGTCTATTTGAAAACCCCGTAAACAAATATGGTTCAAATCAGAAATGGTTGAAAATAAAGAGAACACTTGAGTTACTTCAATGATCTTGGAAAGACGTATACATGTATATCTTTTCCAATTTTTTTTAACAGATAAATAAATATGTTAGATCTAGCCTTTGAAAGGTATGCAAAGAAATGGTAAACTTCTTTTTTCGGTGTTAAATTGAGCGATCGAAATTGCAAAAAATGAAAAGATATCCACTTTACGACAATTCAAATACATAAATAGTTTTCCTGGTCTTTGAGTTGACACTTTGAGGCCCATAATAAGCACTGTAAAATAATTGTTGAGCCTAACAACCTAACCAAACGAAAGCCCATATCTATTCTCGAGTCGACTCGATAGGAATATTATAATAGATAAATATACTTAGAATAGAAAAACTTTTATAGGGCAATTGTTAATAGCTTGTTACTAGAAATAATTTCAACCATTTCAGTTACTTGGTAAGAAGCCTAATGGTAATCCTCTGAGGAAAATAATAACGGTACGCAGCAACACATTCTAAAGTTCAAATGCATCCATTTCAAAAGAAACCTACTTTGAAACTTCAATGATAACTACATTCTTAGGCATCATCTGCTAAATAAAATTGAAAAAATAACTAAATTCATAAATTGCGAATTTAGTAGTAAAGCCATCTATATTAACTTGATAAGCAATAGAAAAGCGCAGTAAAACTTTTGCGCAAATTGATTTAAAGGATAGCAAGCAGTGAACAGCGAAACAAACCATCAAGGCTGTATTTTCAGATTTTGACATCCGTTTTGACAACAAAAATGCAGAATATCGAAACTCACTAGCATAGAGATGCATTCCTGTAAGGAGTGCACCAGGAAGAAGATACATAAAGAAGGGGATATAGTAGCCATCACTACTCCAAGATAAAAACGTCGGGGTCTCCATCATGGCAAGGACACTGAGACCAAAAGAGAAGAGAAGTCCATCTACGACTCCTGTGCAGACGAAGGCACTGAAGAGCACTACCCAACCCCAATATTCATACCGGGTTGAATTTACTATAAATAAAAAAATACATACAGTACGCAAATAACAATGACTTAAAGAAGGCCGCAATTAATTATAACTTACCGTCAAGTTGGGGACCAACTAATGCAGGTACTGCATTTGAGGAAGCACTTTTGTCGGTTTCGATATCAAGGTTTTGAGTCTACACGACAAACTTTTGAAAAAAACTCACATAGTACATACTTCTAGATCCATTGCAGATTAACTAAATTAACGTATTTTAAATAATAGTAAAAATGGAAAGCCTTTCAGTGTTGCATTGGAAATCTAAAAGAATTGAAATAGTGCATAAAGACATGTTAATAACTTAAAAAGTAAAATTGCGTAGCCATGCAATATGGAAAGTAAAGAAAGTCCGCAAAAATTGCGAATAAATAAATTGAAAAGAAAACAATTATTAACGAAATCGTAAACAGTGGAAAAAAGAATTAAAATGCATAAAGAGAGCAAAGATTTCACTTATTTGAATCGTTTTCAAGCAATATTAAAAGACAAAAAAATTAAGCTAAGACCGATAATCACAAAGCGACCTTCTATAGACGAATTCAAATTTGCAGTTGAAAAAGAAATACCATAATTTAAAAAACCTAAACAAATATTATAACCTTGAATAAAACTTGGAAAATATGAAAAAATTTACAAAATTCAAAGAATTCTTTATACAAATAAAAAATTTGAGCATCTAATTTTAAAAACTTATTATAATATACCTGATGATTGTATGATTATTTTTCTACACTATATTTATATTTTATTTATAAAAAGCTTTAATTCATTAAAATTGGTCTTTTTTACGTGCTTCGACCTTAAGATTTGAGATGGTACAAGTTTATGTTCTCGTGCGTTTTATCTCTGGACCCCTTAATATTATTTTGATGAAGAAATATTTGTGAAATGTTAAGCTCATTTTCCCTGTAATTCTTTTAATTAGATTTTAAATAGTTTTATCTAATTTGGTCATATATTATGGCTCTGGTTCCTATTCTGTAATCCTATTATCCTTTTCAATCTTATTTAGGTTTTAAAAATATGCTGAAATCATCTCCGATTCTCAGAAATTCAATTTTTCACTTCTCATTTTCTGCCTTCTCCTGTGTTCCCCTCATTGGTCTAGAGATTCACGCACAACTCACGAGTTCTCGCTCCAAAGCCTTCTCTCCTGTCCAATACGCCTTTGCTGCACCACCGAATACACAAGTTCATCATTTTGATGCTGCCTTACCCGGTTCTTTGCCTGTAAGCCGTTTTATTACTCCATATTTTCAGAAATAAAATGGGTAATATTTGTGCATTATTACAGATTCTGAATCAAAATTGTTTTGAATGGGCAATAATTGCAGGTTTGGGATTGAATTGTCATATCAATCTAATTTCTAAATTTGATCGTAAACATTACTTCTACGCGGACTCGCCAGCGGGTTTTCAAATCACTCAACATGACTTTCCAGTTGCTGAAAATGGCTGGTTAGAATATATCTGGAAAGCGCCGGAGTTAAAGTCCATACCTCAGGTCAGCAAAGCGAAAATCCGTCGAATTCAACTTGAACAGGATACTGGAAAAAGTCTGCATGATGAGAAGTCCTCTCGAAGTCTAATTGATCTTAACAGAGCTGGTATTAACCTGTGGTTTTAAAATTACTTGAGTATTACTGCATTAACTCAGTTATATCATGATTTCCAGGTGTAGCACTAATTGAAATAGTGACAGATCCGGTTTTCACCATGAGTTGTCAGGCAGCAGCATTTGTAGATGAATTAGCCTCTCTACTGCGGCATTTACGGGTCTGTTCGTCAAATATGTCTACAGGCGAAATGAGAGTTGATGTCAATGTCTCTATAGGCCCTTCTGTCTCTCAACAAGGACCAGTTGTGGAGATCAAAAATGTCAATAGCCTTCGTGCCATTCGCCATGCTATTGGTATGTTTCTTTAATATGTTTTCATCAATTGGAATGATGGTGTTCTGCGGAAAAGGCTTTAAAATGACTACTACCAACTTTAATCGAATTCGAATTGGGCGACGAACAATGTGATCAAATGATAATTTGGGTCATATCGCTTTTTCGGGATCGAGAATTGTTGGCAATAGCTTGTAGCACGCAAAATTACTTACGATAAAAAGTAATAATTTATTATTGAGCATGATAGTAGTTCCAATTTTTTATCCATTGAATTTAACTTTATTTATTTTTTTTATTCGGTCTATAATATGCAGATTTACTTAATTACTTAAAATAGAGAGGTTGGGTTAAGTATTCAACTTCATAATTCAATTAATTCCTCTGCGCACGCAAATCATCTGTGAGAACGTCTAGAATCTTGAATCACTCCTAAATCCTAACGGATGTTAGTTCGCTAATCGATTGGTGCGTACCTTTTGAGACCAAAGTAGTTTAAATTTCACCATATAGTTAACTTTCGCTGTGTGTACCTCCTTGTTCAATTCAGGAGTTTCGTCACCTGTTCTTAATGTCACTTCCCTAATATCATGGCGTTTAGTGCATTTCTTAAACATTTAAATGTCTCTCCTGATTAGATGAATGTTGTTATAGGAAAAAAATATCATGGAACCTCTATGAAAAGATATTCGAATTTAATCTTCCTTTTGTCAGTCAGGCAACCTTTATGTTTGATTTTGTGAACGAGCACAAAAGCCTTTGCCATGATCATTTTTATCTGCGTATACCCCACAGCCATAAATATTCTTATTATGTTTTTTTCGCGATATTATTTGACAGTCTCCTTTTTGTTCCAGATTATGAGATCCATCGTCAACGAAAAATCTGTCAATCAGGTGGAAAAGTAATCAATGAGACGCGTTCTTTTGATGTGCTTTTAAAGTGAGTCCTCCACATACCTATCCGTGATGTGTTTAGCGTATTTTAGCTATCATTGACTCTTTTCTATCGTTTTAGTAAGACTGTATCAATGAGGGATAAGGAAGTCCTTCAAGACTATCGTTTTTTGCCAGAACCCAACCTGCCACCTGTTCGG